GGGGTCAATATTCTTTCCGTACACTCTATATATATATATATATATATATATATATATATATATATATATATATACTGTATATAAACATGTATATAAAAAAATAATAAACTAAAATAACAATTGTGCGCAGTCATGCACTTATAATTAAAGTCTATTGCACAGGACTTTTTGACATTAAAACACACATATTTGTACATGTTTTTGAAAGTATAGCTTTAACATTATATGTTATCACAGTCGCTTTGAGTTCAAACAAAACCAAAAAAACAAAAACCACTACAGCATGACTAACCTCATATACTTGCACAGAAAGTGCATTACAGCGATTTTTGCTTATTTTTACAAACTGAGGGACAAAACAGAAAAAAAATTGTGGTCATCAACAGAATGCACCGATGTTGTCCATAGAGAAAACATTGTATTGAACCTGAAACATGCCTTAAAACGTCTGAAAGCTAAAGGAAATGTACATTTAGAACGGCTAAATTTAAAGCTTAAAACAGCTAGAGTTGAATATATATGCATGTGCTAAATTAGTAACTAAAGATTTTTCAAATATACACCAGTCAGTGCGCTTAGCAGTTCATGAAGATAAAGGTTTATTTGTTAGCAGTAGTATGAATTAGATCTATACATCTTAAACACAGCTCCTGATAACCGTACATAGATTAAGCCTGTCTTGACAGCCTATTCCCATTCTCTAAGAAAAACACAACCATGAGAACAAAAGAGGCTGATATAATTTACATTTCCAAGAATGAGGTAACAATTCACAGTACAAATTCTTCAAGTTTTCTTTCTGAAGAAGATAAAACCTGTATTTGCTTAAAACCAGAAGACCGTAAGAGAACAAAAAAATGTGATGCTGATCAAATAAAAAGCACTTTACAAATACCCTTAACAGCTGTCCCTACATGTGATAGGACTGTGCTATCTGACCTTCCCTTCTCACGTACATTTATGCCGTGTGTGTGTACATGAGTGTGTGTGTATGTGTGTGTGTAAAATAGGCTCCTGAGCTAAAAGAAAGAGTAGTGAGGGATGGGGTAGGTGGGCACTTTCATGATGGGCAACAGAAGCATTCTCTTGGGCAAACCTAGAGAGAAAATGAAAAGAGCACTCCACATAAGTCCAGGACAAAATAAAAGACCTGAGGGTGTTTTGTTTAAAATGAAGCTAATGCCAATTCACTCTAATTCTAGCATGGGGACATGAACCCAAGAGAGCGGAGCAGAGCAGAGCAGAGCGGAAGAACAGGAAGAGTGAGGTCAGGTGAAAAGAGAGGGCATAAATCAAGCATTAATTCAGATAGGAGATGACACACATGTACCTGCTGCCTAATGTCATGTGATATGATATACACATACAGTTGACCTATATTCAGTCATCTTATGAATAATGACTCTTGAGTAGGGCTGAATGATATACTGTACATTAAATAAAATGTAACAGTTAACTCTGGTCCTTTAATTGAATTTCTCTATACTACAAGAGCGTGTTTCTGAAATTCAGTATACTTTTACTGTGATAATTTATTGTATATTTATTTTCCAGAGATATTTTCTTAAAGCACCCAACATTTTAACCAAACCATCAATAATTTCAGTATAATTTCAATAATAAAAACACAGTAAAATTATAGTTAAAAATACAGTATGTTTTCAAAAGTTTTTCATGAAATTAAGAAACTAAAGCAACAACAACAACTTATTTTATTAATAATGTATTTTTAAAAAATCTAATAAAATACAGTAAAATTCTAGTTAAAATGATCAAGTTACGGTTTTCAGCTTTTCACAAAATTAACACAAAATTAAAGGAATAATAATAATTTTTTTATTTTATTTACAATCTATAAAATTTACATTGTGATATACAGTTAATCTAGTTAATTAATAATATACAGTTAAAATCTAGTTAAAAATAATCAAGGTGGTTTTTCCCCCAGTTTTTCACAAAATGTACACTAAATTAAAGGAATAATATTTTTTCACAATGTACAAATCTAACAATCTAGGTTTTTCAATTTCACATGAAATTAACACATTATTTTTTGTCATTTTTTCAATGTATAAATGTGTATAAAATGTATAAAACGTATAATAAAATGTGGTAAAATTCTAGTTACAATTTTTTATTTATTTATTTTAGTTTTTCTATAAATGAGTCTAACTTAAGAGTCACTAGAATTTGCATTACGTTGCAACATTTATTAAGGAAAAAAAACAGCATAAAATCATTGTGATATTCATGTGGTTAATTTTAAATCAAACTAATATTCATAAATATTCAATATATTGCCCAGCCCTAGTCTTAACTTCTAGACTCTAGATCTAATTGAAAGTAATAAAGTTAAACCTAGTGTCCGAAGCATACATGTGAATTGTGGGTAGGGGTACATGGAGGGTTACAGGAGTGATCTGCTGGCTGGCGCTCTTATGTGGAGTGTTCATTCTGTGCCGTGTGTGTTTGTGCGTGTGTGTGAATAGTAGTCACAGTCGTTCCCATTTAGAAATCCCAAAGCAGCAACAGGAGGAAGAGGGTTGGGCAGCGTAAGATGACTGGTGAGAATTACTGCATGCACACAGCTCTCAGGCACCAAACCGGAGAGACGTCAAAGAGAGGGCCGCACTGTTCTCTTACAGCACAATACCGGGTTTCACCTTCCACCTAAAGGAACAGTCTTTATGTGGCAGGCAGAGACCAGGGCGCTGGGAGCAACCCCATATCCACCCCCCTCATCCTCCGAGAAATAAACCCAGCAAACACCCCTCCAAATTCAGCCTGGTTCCCGCTGAGCCCACCTCACCTAGTCCCCCCTGCACATAAGGCTCATTCAAAGCATCTTCATCTGGGCCTGACCGGAGAGGTGCTCCTAAAACATGAGTGTCCCAGAATGCTGTGCCTGAGTGAAGCATAATGAAATAAACTATAAAAACACCCCTAACATGGAGCTTCAAAACTCAGCAGAGATTTCAGACAGCTGCAATAACAGTGCGTGATGAATTTTAAACAAAGCACGACAGTTACCTGAAGCTAATATTTACAAACGAATAGTTCACAACCTCGATGGCTTTGGCTGTTGAGTCCGCACAATGCAGGTGGCCCCGCAGGGGTGTCAAACTTTGAGCTCCTTTTAATATTAATACTTTAATAGCATATAAATAATACTAAACACTGTTCTGAATGTGCAAAAAGCAGAATATGAAATAAACAGTATGTCTGAAATCATACTATATAAATCAACAGGTGAAACATACTGTTGAGATCTGATGGACAGTTTACTATCCCATAAGGCCATGGGAGAGGAGCTGTGAATGTCAGTAATCTTGAACTTTTCTTAATGGTCAAACGCTTTGTCAGAGCTTTCTCTAGTATGCGGCAGTCTGGAGATTACACTGTGTGTTTACTGGCATATTAACTAGGGCTGTCAATTCAGCGCATTGATTTAGTGTGATTAATTATTCAATTATGCCATATAAATTTAACCAAGTAACCATAATAAGGTATTTTCCTTCTAACAGAGCAATTTAAGCACAAAGCTGAGTTTTTAAAGTATGATATCTATAATGTTTTAATAATCAGCCTAATTCTATGAAAATAGCTTAGTCCACATCACAACTAGAGGAATGATATCTTTGTAATTCATTTTCATTTGAATTTTTTTCAAGCTAATGAATGATAAAAACATTGACAGCCAATCAGACTCTAAAGAGCTTGGATGCTAGTATAGTTATCATTACAGTTATTGTTCTTGGTGTAAACGGGCCTTTAGATGACGCAGACTAAACTATTAAACAAAACGTCTTTACTGATGTTTTTAAAAATACTAAATCTGTCATCTTTTACTCAGCCTAAATAGTTTAGCTATAATCTGTAAAACTGTTTTTCTGTCCCTACAATGAAAGTCAGTGGGTTCCAGTGTTGTTGTTTGGACCCCACTGACTTTCAATGTGTGAATAAAAACTGTTGCAAACCATTTTCTTGTGTTCCACAGTAAAAAAAGAAAGTCATGCAGGTTTGGAAAGGACATGAGGGTGAGTAAATGATGACAGAATTTTCAGATTTAGTTGATCTATCCCTTTAAAAAGTATTCGCTCTATGCTAGCTAGTCACAGCACTAGTCTTCAGACTGTCTATCGTGATCTTCCTCTCACCCATCATGCCCAGCGGCTGCTTTGAATGGTGTAACTGTGTGCTGAAGACAGCAGCACTACGCTGACGCTTAGAGAGCCACCCAGAGTCAGGAGAAACGGGCCAAGCGTCGAGCAGGCAGACTAGACGAGCAAAGTCACACTCAGGCCAGGTGCAGCAAGTCTTGCTCCAACCACGGTTAAGAACCAAAAGGTTATGGTTCGTTTCCATCGTCCAGGGAGTTGTTTCTCTACGGGATTCTTTGTCGACGTGATTTTGGGGTTTGAAAGCCCAATTTGAGAGCTGAATGGGGGAGTAAGTGGGGGCAGATTTGGACCCTAGACCCTGACTGGAGGAAGGGAGGATGGGAAGGAAGGGGTACGTACCGTATGCAGGAGTGGCGGCCGCTGCGCTGTACCCGTATGGGGCGCCGAAGCCTGCGAGAACACGGTATTCATGATATATATGGTGAAATGTAAGTGTTAAGACTCCTTCACATGAGTCGTGTCAGGGCCTCAAGGCTACCTGTGACCTTTGACCTCACTGTCATGAGTCATGTGACAGAGCCTTTCTGAAGACAAACTACACCTCATAAACAAACAAACAGATGCAAATAATGTTGTGACACAATTCCATGCTAAAAATAACAAGAGTAAGTGTTTCCATTCAAAAGTAAGGCAACATGACTTTTAGGAAAATATATTTTAAAATCTAAAGGATTTGTAAAAAATAAATAACATAAAAAGGAAATATTAAAAATAAGGTACACCGTATCAGCAAAAGTAAAGATTTTTTAAAGTATTGGCTTTGGTCAATAGCAACAAAACACTAGATTTGAGTTTTTTTACGTATTATTTTTTTACTTAAGAAAAATTGTATCAGATTTTAGTAGTGTCTATTTATACACTACTGTTCAAAAGTTTGGGGTCAGTAAGATTGTATAATGGTTTTGAAAAGGTTCTTTTGCTCACCTAGGCTGCATTGACTTGATAAGAAAAAAAAAGACATTATAAATTGTAACAAATTGAAATATTTATTACAATTAAAAACAACTATTTCATATTTTAATATATTGCAAAACATAATTTATTCCTGTGATCAAAGCTGAATTTTCAGCATCATTACTCCAGTCTTCAGAGTCACATGATCCTTCAGAAATCATTCTGATATACTGAGTTGCTGCTCGAGAAACATTTCTAATTATTATTAATGTTGAAAACCATAAAACTGTCATACATCTTTATTTTCATGATTCTTTGATGAATAGAAAGTTAAAAATTGCAGCATTATTTGATTTTAAATATTTTGTAACATTATGTCTTTACTGTTACTTTTAGTCAGTTTAATGGGTCCTTGATTAATAAAAATAATCGTTTACATTTTTTTTACTGACCCCAAACTTTTGAACGATAATGTAAGTAGAGCTGGGCGATATGGCCAAAAAAATCGGCACCTTTGGTAAATATGATCAAAGAAGGCTGTGAAAATTAATCTGCATTGTTAATCCTTTTGATCTTTTATTAAAAAAATTCACAAAAATCTAACCTTTCATTGGATAATAAGAATTTAAAATGGGGGAAATATCATTATGAAATAAATGTTTTTCTCAAATACACCGTGGACACAATTATTGGCACCCCTAGAAATTCTTATGAGTAAAATATCTCTGAAGTATATTCCCATTCATATTCACAATTTTGAGCATACCAGGGTGATTATGAACATGAAATTATCCAGCCATGGCTTCCTGTTTCACAGAAATATAAATAGGAGGGAAAACAAAGGCCAAATTCCCTTAATCATCCATCACAATGAGAAAAACCAAAGAATATATTTCTGATGTGCAGCAAAAGATAACTGAGCATCACAAATTAGAAAGTGACTTTAAAAAAAGAGCTAGAGCAGTGAAAATTCCCATTTCCACCATCAGGGCAATAATTAAGAATTTCCAATCAACAGAAAATGTTAC